ATTCTAAAGAACAATTAGGACAATTTAATGCCCTTGAGCGATACATTAATTTAAAAAAAAAACTTCAATGAAGCAAACCACAATTAAACAATTTTTTAGTCAACAATAATATTTAATATGTAATAATAATAGTAATTAAAAAAATATTTAAAATCGTACAATAATTTTTATTAGTATCACGTGCAACCAATAAAATTCTTCCCTTCTATAAATGCATCCCTCCATAAATGCACGCTCTCATCCATTCCCAAGGGGGGTGCATTTATGGAGGGTTCACTGTAATTAATTGGGTGTTGAAAAATTTCATTGGATAATTGGTGAATAAACAATCGGTGGTACAGAAATATAAAAAATAAAAATTTTTATCCATGTAATTGAAAAAATTACTAATACATTAACATGTAAATACTATTTTATGCACTATTACACTATCACCAACAATAATAACATATCAAGTAATATGAATACCAACTGTGTCATTATTATCTAAAGAATGAATATTTATGCATTGTAGTAACTTCTACTCCAAATGAGCGTCTACAGCCAGACCTTGTCACAGCAGACCATAATCATAACAGATTTTTAAAATTTTTGCTTCACATTCACATTAAAATATAAAAACTTAAAATCCATTGTGGCAAGATCAGTAAATCTTGCCATAAATCTTTATTCATCCACTGTGACAAGGTTTGACTGTATTTAGTGAAGCTGGAAACACAATGACAGCCGAATGAATAAAATTGAATCCATTGTTATTTGTATTTCTTAAGAAAACTATGCAATGTATTGGAAATATTTTTCCTGAAGAATAAATAATTATTATAAATCAATGAATATTCAATGGATATCCGGCGGATATTTGGTGAATGACCAATTATCTGGATGTTGAGTTTTATTGACTGACCGATTATCCAGGTGTTGAGCTTTATTGATTGACCAAGTACTCAAACACCCAGATAATCAACGGATACAACCACTACTAAATTTTTTTCTAAAAATTCCAGAACGCTGAGCATTAATAAATTAGGAAATACTATTTATGGTATAATTCCAGACTGTAATAGCAATGATGATAATTTTTTTTAACCAAAAAAAAATTTTTTTCAAACATTTCACATTAAAGCTTTTCAATCCGTCGTGATTTCCTGAACATTTAGGTAGCAAATTGTTTCCTTTTCCAATTTTCTTTCTAAATTCTTCATGGTTTTGTGATAAAGTTCTTTTACTGGTTATGATTTTTCTTTCTTCTTGGTAAATTTTATAGGTAATCCTTTTTTTTCTTAGATAAGCTTCAAGTGCCTGAGTATCATCTATTTTGAAATGTAAGAAGCAATTTTTCACCTTGTTCTTCAAAATACTTCTAATGGTGTATACTTTTTGAGTTCCATAGTAGATCTAATATAAACGAGTTTCATATTAACTATTTTTGTTTAGACAAATATTACATTGGTAATACAATTGTGGTCTGGTTTTATTGCAACATTATTATTACTTACTGCGTTATGCTTTGATGATCACGCGCGTAACAATAATAGTAATATATAGTAAACCCCACATTTTGGAAGAAAAGAAATATTAATACAATGTTATATATTTAATAAGAATTATTATTATTAATATATTATTAATTACCACGCGTAATAATAAACCAGTAAACCCATTAATACAATAAGAATTATTAGTAATAGTAATATATTATTACTTACAGCATGGAGCATAATGGACATTCGTTTATCACATAGTGACAAAATTGAATGCAGATCTTTTTTATGCTGTGCAACAGCATATTTTCAATTGTTTTAAAATAGAAAAGGCTGGTTATAACACGGGTGATTAAAAACTACTTGTAAAACGATGATGTT